AAAAAAAAAAAAAAAAAAAAAAAAAAGAAAGGTCATTGGATTAATATTAAATTTTGAATCTTTTAGGTTGTGCATTTGATTTCAAAACTATGAACTCAAAGCCTCAAGATAGTTTATTTGTTGTTTATTTGTACATTTACTTATTTATGGCGAGGGTGATGGCAAATGGAAACAGTGATATGGATTTTACCCTCCACACCCCCAAAAAGTAGCTTACAAAGTCATATTTAACTTGACATGTAAGAATTACTGAGTCTTCTTTACTTATGTATGACATGAACTCAAAATAAGTTAAAATCCCTTAAATTACTATATGTGAACATACATTTAACTATTTCTTCCAAGAATGTATATTTGGACAAAAGCCAGAACTTTGTTTTCACTCTGCATTTAAGGAAATAGCTATGATAAACAGAAAATATTAATCTGTGCTCTCTTTTCTCTTCAAACAGAAAAGCCTCCTAATAAAAGCAGTATGAGGATAGTAGTGGATTCTGAATCAAGGAAAAGAACCATTGGTTCCGGGGAGCCTGGAGCGCCTACAAAGAAGACCTGGTTTGATAAGTAAGCTGGCAGGGAAAATTGAGGAATTTTATTATGCAGTGATTTTTAGAATACTGGAATATTATTATGACAGTATAGTATTCTCTTTTAAAATGACTCTCTCTAACTTTGTTCTATAGGCGATGCCACACTAGTGTGTACATTGGTTTCCAAAAGTTTTTAAGTTAATTGGCACTTGGGAGGCATTTTCAAATGGAATTGGTGTGGTAGTTGAGGACACAGTTTTTCCTCTTTCTGTCATCCTGCATCTCCCCAAAAAACACCCGTTCACTTAGAGATGTCACTGAAAACTACCTATATAAAGGATAGTCATGAGCCCATTAAGGAAGGAGGTTGGGTCTGGTTTGGGAGGAGGCTTTAGCATGTAGGGCAGTCCTGTTAAGAGCCAGAAAGTGATCTTTTGGGGAGCAGGGGAGGCTGGATAGACACAAATTGTCAGGGAAGGGCTTCAGAGAAAGAGGTAAGGAATCTGAATTTTGGGGTGCGTGTGATGATTCTCTTATGAATATTTGCAAGTTAAAGTAAAGGATCACACTTTCATACTTTAATATCATTTAATAATGGCTAATACCTAGTTCTGGCTCTGCCTGTAATTCTGTGATTTAAGGCAAGCAGTGTAACTTCCCTGGGCCACAGTTTTGTCCTTTATTCAATAGTCAAATTTATGGGCTATAGTTTTGACATTTTTTCTGAGTTGGAAAGTGGTTGAAACAGTCATTTCTTGTTTTTAATCAGTGTTTTAGAATAGGATACATTTCAGTAAGCTAGCTTTTGCAGAAGTACAACAAAAATTATATATGCAAATTTATTGAAAGAGGGTGCTGGATCTTTCCTGCTAAGAATTTTAAGTAGGAATGGATTTAAAGTGGAACATGATAAATGACAAGAACCCTTCTCATTTGGCTTCTATGAAAGATACATATACTACTAATGGAAATTTCAGTTTTTGGAAGAAATTTGAATTTTCTTTATCAACCAGTAATTTCAGTTTTGAAAAAAAAATTAAGCTTAAGTTGTAAAACCTCATTAATCTGTACTTGATAGGGGTCACGATTTACAAATGAATGTATTAATCAGCTTGATTTTTGTTACAGGCCAAATTTTAATAGAACAAACAGCCCAGGCTTCCAGAAAAAGGTTCAGTTTGGAAATGAAAATACCAAACTTGAACTTAGAAAAGTTCCTCCAGAATTAAATAATATCAGCAAACTTAATGAACATTTTAGTCGATTTGGAACCTTGGTTAACTTACAGGTAAGAGCTATGAAGTAATTTTGTGGTTTTTGCTTATTTTAGGAGGAAACTTAATACAGTAGAAGAATACTTTTATAAAGGAATATGGAAAATTTGCTTATGTTCTAAATTTGGAAAATTGGAAATGAAATGAAACTATATTTTTGAAATATTGTGTGATTTTGAGTAAGTTTTTTTACTTTCAAAAAGCAGGAGTTTGATCACATTTTATGTACTGTTTACCTGATAGAAGTTATCATAGAATTATAAAAACTTTAAATCGTGAAACTAGGAAAATCTAGTCTTTATAGTAGTGTTCATTTCCTTAGTTTCTCCACATTATTACTGCAGAAAGTTTCAGTCTGATTATTTTTGCTGCCTGTATGTGTTGGGAAGCATGTAACAGATACCTTTGGGGCCCAAATACCATGTAATCCATAATTAGTTTAAACATTTACTTTTTCCCCTATCACTTTTGAATGTCCTTCAAGATTAAATATCAATGTAATTTGTATTTGACTTCACCTAAAATCAGACCTTGGCTGGAGTGTATGTTAACTTGTAAGGTTATTCAGTATTAAGTTTACATTATTAGGTATACTGAAAGTGTTAAATAATGTAGGGCCTTTTTTCCCCCCATTTTTGTCAGCTAAAATAATTCTTTCCATTAATCTGATGAAAATAAGAATAAATTTTAGTACAGCTGATGTTATTTGGAAAATTTTGCTTTCTTGACATTTAAATTTTTCTTTTTTTAGTGTTTATTCATTTTTGAGAGAGAGAGAGAGAGAGAGCGTGAGCGGAGGAGGGGCAGAGTGAGGGAGACACAGAATCCGAAGCAGGCTCCAGGCTCTGAGTTGTCAGCACAGAGCCCAATGCGCGGGGCTTGAACCCACGAACCTCAAGATCATGACTTGAGTCGAAGTTGGACACTTAATCAACTGAGCCACCCAGGCGCCCCTCTTAACATTTAAAAAATAATATAAAAGTAACATGAAAAAAATGAATGCTTTCTTGGTATGGGGCAATAGAGATTTATATAGAATATAAAGAAAGTGTTTCTCCTTCAGCTGTGTGTCCTTCTCAGTTCCCCTTACCATATATCCCCATAATTACATTATTAACAATTTATCATGTATTATTTTAGATTTTTTTTGTATTTCTGTGTCTACTTATCATTCAATCAGTACATCAAAAACATATATATATTAAAAAATATATGATCTCACACTTTGTGAGTCTGAGCCCCAGCTCAGAGCGTGGAGCCTGCTTCGGATTCTGTGTCTCCCTCTCTCTGTGCCATGCTTTGTCTCTCAAAAATGAAT